TCAATTGCAATTGTATAATATATAATGATGTTGGCCTTGTTCATGAAAGTGGTTGCAAGAGGGCTTGGGTATACTGATTATGTGGGAAATTAGTGAATCCTTGATCTAACCCTATGTATTGGGATATTTATAATGTGATCCGTGGGCCAAATTATGGGTGATGAACCGGTTTAAACCTAACTGCTTTGATATGGCGAAGGAATAAGAAGACTCGTTCTTCCTCCATAATAGAAAGAATATTTCTCTCCTTGAAAGAAATCAATATCGTCCCTTTAGGGATATATCACACGCCATGTTTTAGAGAAAATTATAAATGTTCGATGTAGATTCTAGTTGGGCGACCCAGACTCTAGTCGAGTGGCCAATCTCAAGTCATACGACCTGAACTCGTGCCCTCCCCTTTAGTTTTGCTTCCCTTTCACGTTTTCCTTGAGTTGTTCTAATCGTGGATTGCTCTCCTCAAAGGCCCAATGAAATTTATTTCATTACAAATTTCTTTAACATGAAGAAATAAATGAAGAGAAAAATATATGAAAATTTTCTAAATAAAAGTTAAAATCTTTATAGCAAAAAGTATATGAAATCTTGGTTCATTTAACTTTTTGTAACTGAAGTTTTTCGTAGTGCTTAATTTGTCAATAAATTTTGTTCTTGTAAACTCTTGTATTTCATATGCATCGATCGAGATGTATCGATAGAATGTCACAAATAAACCGTTGACAATTTTCTTTGAGAATTGCGTTTGTTGCAAGAAATGTATCGTTGTTAGGAAAGTCATGCATAACTTGAGTTATTACTAGACAATTGTGATAATTTCAAAATGATTCTTTAAGAGGGAAATTTTAAATATTATCTTCAATGTAGGAGACAATATCATCTTTAATTTCATCAACCATATGCTTTGATTGTTCTATATTTCCACTAGATGATCTAAACTTGAGTTTATCAATCATATGCTTTGATTTTTTATATTTTGATTAGATGATCAAAACTTGAGTTCATCAACCATATGGTTTAATTTTTTATATTTGAACTAGATGATTCAAACTTTAGTTCATCAACCATATGCTTTGACATGGACGGATCCATGTTTAGGCTAGGTGTGGCTATAGCCACACCAGATTTTTCTTTTCTTTCTAATATTAATATATATTTAATTAATTAATTAATTTTAATATTTAATATTATATAACTCTTCAACTCACTTTTATCTCTTAATTTTCTCTCTCTTTTATTTCTTTCTCTCTCACACAGTAAATCCTTTCTCTTCTTCTCAAACCCCACCAACTTCCATATTTGACTCTTTCTCTCATTAATCCAATAACCCCACCATTTTGCATTGTTTATGGGTGATTGAAAATCAAAGGTAAACTAACTATTTCAAAATTTTCTTATTCTTTTGTTCTATTTGAGTTGAACCCTAAAACCCCAATTTGTTTTTAAAAAGTAAATTTTCAATTTCTCATAAATATTTTCTTTACAATAAATTGTTCTTATTATTTTCTTTATAGAGTGAATAGCTAATTTTAATGGTTTCATTGTTCTCTTTATAGGATGAAGAAATTTTTTCCTGTGCTTTCTAGAGACAAAGCTACTTCTTCGGTAAATCTAGAAGCATCGGAAACTCAACATCCAAGTGAGAGTATTAAAGTTGTCGATTATGAATTGTTGGAAACCGATCCAGGAATTAGGCCTCCAATTTCAAGCTATCATCCTGACATCCAAAATGAGGTAAGGAAAGCTTATTTAAAAATAGGTCGTCATAAACCTCCTTACAATTTTGTTTACCCTTGGTCTGTTCAAGGTAATCAAAGACGTAGATTTTGCAAAAATTGGTTTGATTTGTATGATTGGATTGATTATAGTGAATCTAAGGACCTGACATTTTGCTTGCCATGTTTTTTGTTTAAGAATGTCTCTAAATACGGGGGAGATCACTTTGTGACAGAGGGGTTTGGTGATTGGAAGAATTCTCACAGATTGGCTAATCATGGAACTTCTTCCAATAGTCATATTGATTGTGTGCATATGAGTTACGCTCTCATGAACCCAAACCAAAGTATTAAGGCTGCATTTGTTAATCAAACTAAACAAATGAATTCTGAATATCGTGTTCGTGTAAACACATCTCTTATAGCTACTAAGTTTCTTTTGAGGTGTGGCATGCCATTTAGAGGGAGTGACGAGTCCTTTAACTCTTTATTTAAGGGGCCATTTCTTGAGTTGGTGGACACTCTAAAGGAAATTAACCCAGAGATAGCTAAGGTAATAAATTGTGCTCCAGGAAATAACTTTATGACTGCCCCTAAGATTCAAAAGGATCTTGATGCTGCTTGTGCATGTGAAATAACTAAACAAATTGTATGTGATATTGCGGATGATGTGTTTTGTGTTTTGATTGATGAATCCGGTGACGTTGCTGGTAAAGAACAAATGGCTGTTGTTATTCACTATGTTAATAGTGATGGTTTGGTAAAAGAAAGGTTTCTTGGGATTGTTAGTGTTAAAGAAACAAGTGCTAAGTCACTTAAGGAGACACTTGAGAAGTTGTTGTCTAGCATAAGGGGGCAAGGATATGATGGAGCTAGCAATATGCGAGGTAAGTTTGGTGGTTTGAGAACTTTAATTCAAAATGAAAATCCATCAGCTTATTATGTGCATTGTTTTGCCCATCAACTTCAATTAGCACTTGTTGCATGTGCTAAGACTCACAAAGATGTTAGTGGTTTTTTCGGTAAGGTCAATATGCTTGTTAATTTCATACGGTCTTCTAACAAGAGACAAGAATTGCTTCAGGACAAACAAGTATCTCAATTTGCTAAATTGATTGAAGAGGGTGAGATAGAGACTGGTAGTGGATTAAATCAAGAACCGTCTATTGCTAGAGCGGGTGACACTCGTTGGGGTTCCAACTTTAGGACTCTCACTAGTTTGATGACTTTATATGGTGCCATTATTGAGGTACTTGAAGAAGTCGGGAAAGATACGTCATTTGCAAAATATGGAGAAACTATGCTTTTGCTAGATGTGCTTCAGTCCTTTGATTTTATTTTCATGTTATACATGATGGTTGAGATTTTAGGATTTACAAATGATTTAAGTGTAGTGCTACAAAAGCGTGATCAAGATCTTTTGAATGCTTTATCACTTGTCAAAGCCACCAAACAGGAATTACAAGAAATGAGAAATGATGGATGGGAAGAACTTATATCTAAGGTTATGGAAATTTGCAATAAGCATGATATTGATGTGCCTGATTTGGATGCAGCGTACGTGCAAGGGAAGAAACCTAGACGACATGCTATCACTTATAGTGTTTATAATTTGCATCATTATAAGCATGATTGTTTATGTAGTGTTTTAGATTTGCAGTTGCATGAGCTCAATGCTAGGTTTGAGGAAGAGAATACTGAACTTTTACAATGTGTTTCATGTTTGAGTCCCTCATCATCATTTGAATCTTTTGATGTGAAAAAATTATTGAGGATGGTTGAACTTTATCCAAATGATTTTGTAGATGCGCCGGAAGTGGCGGTACGACATCAGCTTCAGAATTATGTTAGAAATGTTCGATGTGATCCAAAATTTGCAAATTTAAACGGACTTTCAGATCTTTGTGCAAAACTTGTGGAAACAAAAAAATGCAACACTTTTGATATAGTTTATAAGCTTCTGAAGTTGGCTTTAGTCTTGCCAGTAGCAACTGCGAGCGTGGAACGTGTTTTTTCAGCTATGAAGTTTGTGAAGAGTCAGCTATGTAACAAAATGGGTGATCAATGGTTAAATGATCGTCTTGTAACTTTTATAGAAAGAGATGTTCTTGGAACAATTAACAATGATGTTATTTTAGCTCATTTTCAAGAAATTGATACTAGACGGTTTTCATTGTAAATACACTTCATCAAACAATATTATTTTTTATTTTCAATGTATTTTAGTCGATAATTTCTTTTATGTTTAGCCACACCAATATATAAAGTCTGGATCCGCCCCTGTGCTTTGATTTTTTATATTTTGACTAGATAACTTAGACTTGAGTTCATCAACCAGATAAGTTATCTCAGATAACTTGACCTTTAAGAGTTGACCAAATAATTCAAAACTATTTTTCAACTCAAGAAAAATGAACATTAATCGTGGTGACTCCCCTTCTTCAACCTAGAAAAATTGTTTTTGCTCATAGAGATCTACCATCAAAAAAAAAAAGTTAAAACAACTATTCATCAATTGTCAAATGTACCAACTGATTTCTGAATTCATTTATTTTCTAACCATATGAATTAAATACATTAATAATTGTCAAATATACCTAAAAAAACAAATAAACTTATAATAATGACTAGAGGGTATCTCTGAAAGCCAAAGAGGAAAATAAATACAAATTATGTCATGGTGTTTTGGTTGAAAAATAGGATGAGCTCATTTACAAACTTGAAAGGAAAAAAAAACATATATTTGGACAGTTTTTTAACACATCTTTGCACCTTCTTAGAGATTTTATACAAAATATCTAAAATACCTCTTGATTTTGAAAATATATATACGAAACTACTATTTTTCACAAATTTTAACACAATTCAAATACGCATGACCAAAATTTCACACATTTCAGATATATATTTTCGAAATCACCACTAATAAAGATGCATTAAAAAACTGCTTATATATGTGGCCCCAAGGCTGCGCTTGGTGGGCGCACAGTTGAAGGCTTACCCGACGACGGAGTCGGGTGGTGGCACATGGAGTGTTCGACGAACCAGAACAAGCTCTCTTGATACCATGTAAAAAATCATTCTCACATATGGTAATGTTGTGTCATAGGTTCAAGCAGTAAGCAATTAAAATAGACTCTAATTCTCAAAATCAGGTATGACATTCAAAAAATTTATGGAACTAAAAGTTCAAAACAAAGCATGCGTCTCTTAATTTCGAAACTTATTTCACATGTAGATTGACATTTAGAAGCTGACAAGAACTGTAAGATAAGCCATATTTTATTTCTAACATTGAAATATTACTAAAGATGTGTTTGTTTCAAGTTTAGAAATTACATTCCCGGGAATACATAGGTAAACAATGAGGAAACTCATGTTTGTTACAAGGTTGAAAAAAATTATTCCTATCAATAATAATTCCAAAGAACAAAATAACTTCTTATAACTTCTCTTATTCCCATGGAATGGAATTATTCTCATGTTAAAGGATTGAAAAGTGGATTCCCATGAAATTTATATACTTTTTTAAATAAATTAATAAAAATTACAATATTCCTGGAAATAGTAAAATTTTTGCCAAACAATTTTTGAGAAGAATACCTTGGAATAAATTTCTTACACTTATTTTCCTTGGATAGTAATTCCAAGGAATAAATTTTGACACTTTGAAACAAACGCCCCCTAAAGTCTGATACATAAACAACCTCTGAAAATTTAATTTCTTTAAAATAACACAAGTAAAAATCCTTAATTTTATTTTTTCAGAAGAAGAGGCCCAACATTATCTCCAGTTGCTTTGTTGTGCTTTACATGGCTTCCATCACATAGAGGAAAAGTTCCTGATCTCCAACATCTGCAACAAAGCACCCCAAGAAAAGCCAGAAAAAGATTAAGAATTTTTATAATTTATAAACATGAAAACTAAATAAAATTTTAAAAAGCTATAAGCAATAAAAATTCAGGACTTTCCATTTGATACAAGACTTGGGAAGCTTTACTTTTCAAACTACAAAATTCAAGAAGGTTGAAGGAGGCATAAGTTTCTTATATGCAAGGTCGTCTTTGGGCGTGCGTAAAACAAATTACTGTTCATAGCTTAAAATTTGTTATGGTTAAACTATGATTAAATATAGCTTCGTAACAAATTTGCTACAGTTAATTCGTAACTAAATAGATCCCTATTTGTTTTACAAAAGTGAAATTGTGACTAACCTACATAAGACTTTAAAAACTTTAGACAATCCGAGTTTAAGGTTGATGGAATCAAATGAAGTGGAGCGGTATGAGATGGAATGAAGTGATATTCCATTGTTTGGATCATTTAAAATCGGATGGATTCGGATTAGAATGAAATGGTATGAATTCAATTTAAAGAATTTGTCTTGTTCTGTCTTAAAAATTCCAAATAATAGAATGGAATATTCATTTCGCTACACTACATTCCGCTTCATTCATTTTATGATATACAAATATAATATTAATGAATTATTGCTAATTTCCGTAACTTGAAAACATGAAAAAGCAAGTTTCTTGAGTAATCAAATAGCAATAACATTCAGAAACTACCCTAAATCCCAAAGCCAAAAAATCCCCAAATCAAACCCTAAATCCCATTAATTTCACAAGCAGCATACAAACAATCACACAAAATTAAGAGTCATAACAAGAAACAAAATCTTAAAAAACTGAACCTTTACCTGCAATAAGCGGTAACAGGCTTAGAGACTTCATTAAGCACAACAGAATCAACAACTTTTTCTTCATTCTTCCTCACATCTGGATTTATACTACTCACACCACCAGCTTCCGCTTTCACCACCACCACACTCCTAACTCTCCTACCAAAGGAACAAGTGTTGTTGAAATTGGTGCCTAAGAATCCATTTTTGGTCTCACCAAAACGTGGCTTTTGGCAAAATACTACACCAACTTGGCTTAGAACAGATTCCATTGAATAGGGTGTGAATTTCTGTTTGTGTTCAAAAGTTCTTGGGTTTGAAATGGGTTGGTGGTAGATGAGATAAGAAAAGAGAAGTCAAGTGTTTGTTACACGTTTTGATGGACTTGTGGATAGCACACTCCACTTTCTATGGTGTGTGGCTTTGTGGTAAAACGCTCAACTCTTAAGAGTATCATTCTTTTAAGATCTCAAATTCAAATCCTATCATATAAATTACTTATTAAAAATAATAATTACGATTATTTGATATCATCCGTCCTATTTATAATAAAAGGTTTATTATTTAGATATATTAAATAAATAATTAATTTAAATAATATATTGTTTAAATATATTATTTATTTAATATATAAAAAATAAATTTTTTCTTATAAATTAAATTAGAGGAATTAAACATGTTTATACAAGAAAAAATTATCATATTCTAGAAGGAAGTTTGTGTAGAATTATTTTGTTTAATGAGTTTTTTTTAAATAAAATATATTGATAAAAAAAATTATAGACATTCAATCTCGATTACAAAAAAAGATAAACTCAAACACATAGATATTACCATCCAATTGAAATTTAAAATAAATAATATAAAAGATTTTTGTAAACTTCGAAAATAAGATTATTTGAATCAATAATATCTCACGTGAATGACTATCTCTCCACCATAGCTTTAGAATGTGTTTGAAACAAGAGAGAGAAGTATCAAAGAGAAGTTTTAAAGAAAAAGTTATCTTCTCGTGTTTGATAATGCAAAGAAATATTCAAGAGAGAATATTGATTGGTCTCACTACATTTTGCAATACTTACATATAATTTTATATTTTATAGGTGTGATTCATATTTTTTTCCAATAAAAATATGATAAATATATTTAAATATTTTTTAAAGAATAAAAATAAAAAAAATATTTTTATAAAAAGAAATTCTTATATTTTTTTTCCAATCAACACCCCAGTCTTTTAAGTATATTTTGTTTCTTTTCCTACAAATACTTCAATAAATTCAATTTAATATAGACTGTGGTTGATTGTGGTTTACATTTGACCAAAGTTAAATCTTTTTTTTTTTACTTGTTAGCCTATTTGCTTTTCTTATAAAAGCACATAAATTTTATAAAAATTTTTTTAAATAATTAAACAATTAAGTAACTTAAAATGAATAAATAATTATTATTTTTAATTATACATATTTAAATATATAGTGATAAAAAATATTTTTAATAACAAAATTTTGTAGCATTCATCTTTTTAATTTAATGATATTTTTATCCTTTCAAAAATAATTACACTTCTTTCTCTTCTATTTCTCTTATAATTTTCTCATAACAAATAATACATTAAATCTATTCTATTTCTCATTCATTTCTCTATTCTGACTCTCTTTCTCACATCATTCTCATTTCTCATTTTCATCTCACAATGAAACACACCCTTAATGCTCCAAACTACATCTAAGGGTCTGAATGTTGGCCTCTACTACAGGCGTACCAGAATCCATAATTCCAAAATCACCCCAGATCCAAGACCCGTCACACCACCTCCTAATCCCCGCCACTGATACCTCCTGCAACAAAGAAGAACTAAACAAAATTGGAAAAGCAACTTTCAGACTAACATCTTCAATCCATGTTGCGTGCCAAAATGGAATTGATGAACCATCCCTTATACTGAATTTGCAATTATAAGTAAAAACATCTTCAAGAACCTTCTTATTAAGAGCCAAAATATTCTTCCACCAGGTAGATTTTGACACTTTGTTGCTATGGTACTCCCCTTGAGTCAGCATTTGAAGCTTAATGTTACCACAATGTGCCTTCAAGATTTGAATCCACAATGCTCTCTTACCTTCAAATATTCTCCATATCCACTTATACAATAAATCTTAATTGAAATCCTCAATCCTTTTTAAGCTTAATCCCTTTTTTTAATCGGTAAACAAACATTCTCCCAACCCACCCAATGAATCCTCCTCCACTCCTCTGATCCATCCCACAAAAAATACTCTATAAATTGACTATCTCTTTAACAATTTTCGTCGGTGCTCTATAAAAAGATAGGAGAAAATTGAAAAGCTGCAAAGAACCGACTTTAAAAGAGTAATTCTACCTCTGAAACTAAGAAGTTTACCCGTCCAACAAGATAAGTGGTTCTTCAACTTTCTTAACAACAGTTGCCACTAAGAAATCCTTCTTGGATTTGAATCAATCAGAATACCAAGAAACGAAAATTCTTTTTCTTCCACCCTGCAAGACAAAAAATTTGCGGCAACATTCAAAAAATGAGGGCTAGAATTGATGCATATCAACTTGCTTTTGTGATAATTAATCCTGAGCCCAGGAGCTAGCTCGAAACCCATAAGCACCGATTTAAGGGCCCACACATGCTTCCAACTAACCTCTCCAACCAACAAAGTATCATTGGCAAATTGAAGAATGTCGACAACACACCTTCTGTTGATGTTGAAATCAGAAAACTCTCCCAACTTTATCGCCTTCCTAACCAAACCCGCTAAATATTTTGCAACAAGCACATAAATAAAAGGCGATAGCGGATCGCCTTATATCAACCCCATTTCCACGATAAACTCGTTAGTAAGGCTCCCATTCACAAGGACTGATATTTTACTCAAAAAAATTGTTGCCTCCATCCATCTCAATCAAAGGTCTCCGAAACCCATATTTCTCGGCATAAATTTAGGAACCCCCATCTCACCTTGTTGTAAGATTTTTCGAAATCAACATTAAAGAGAAATCACCCCTTCTTCTCCTTAGTTGCAAAATTAACTAACTCATTAACCACCAAACACCATCCAACAATTGCCTTATAGGAACGAAAGCAGTCTGACAAGGCGGCACAATATAACTCAAAATTATTTTCAATCTAGTCGTCAGAAGTTTGGATGTCGCTTTGTATAAACACCCAACAAGATAGATGGATCTGTAATCATCCAACCCCAACGAGTTAGGAGACTTAGGGATCAAAGTTAAAAATGATGAAGTGATCTCTTTAGACAAAATAACCCTCCCATGAAAATCGTTGAAGAACTGAACAAAATCGTCGTTTAAGAATAACCAAAACTTCCTGATAAACAAAAAGGAATATTCATTCGGCCCCAGACTTTTCAAACCCTCATAACCCTAAATCTCCTCCTTAATTTCATCCTCTGAAAATTAGGCTTCCAAAAGAACACTCAGATTGGTTGAGCCTATTGAAGTGAACCCCTTCGAGCAAAGGGCGGTTAGAATCTGTCTCCACAAGATTGCTGGAAAAATGGTTCAGAACTTGTTCCTTAACCTCCTTAACAGTATCAGCAGGCCATTGGCAGTAGTAATATAACCAATGCAGTTACACCACCTTCTTTCCTTCATAACACAATGGAAGTACATGTTATTAGAGTCGCCATCGTTGACCCACTTCAATCTGGATTTCTAAATAAGCATGTTCTCTCTAATCCTCAGATTCAACCAAAAATTACTAGAAGTCGCACTCCTGTTAACAACTCCCTCTCCCGAAGTCAAGACCATATCTAACTCAACCAAATCATCCTCATCATTAATTTCACCCACCCTTCCTCCACTTCTAAGTTGATCCTCCCGAAAACTTTGGTATTCCACCATCTAAGCCTACCCTTAAGTAACCTCAACTTCTCCTTGAGAACAAAGTCACTTCTCTCCTCCACCAACAAATCTTTCCATTCCTTCTCAGCAAAAGGTATAAAATCTTTGTTATAAAACCATTCATTGTTGACCTTAAATGGTTTCGGCCCCTAATCTGAATTATCCACAACAAGCCAAATCGGACAATGATCTGAAGTTTCCCTAATCCCGATCAATTGACCTACAACACCCTATCTCCTGATAATGTTTTCTGAAACCAAAAAATGATTAATCTTACTCATAGCTTTCTTGTCACCACTATACCAACTGAACTTCTTTCCTTTGCAAGGAATATCCACCAACTTACTATCATCGATGAAAGCCTAAAATTCCCTCATTTCAGAACTTCTGCTCACCGAAGATCTCCCTTTCCTCTCCCTAACATTAGTAACAATATTAAAATCACCACATAAGCATCATTCATAGTCTGATAATCTCGATTTAATCTCCAATAGATTTTTTCATAAAATTATTTTTAAAACCAAAGAGCAAGGAGAGTAGACATTTACCATATAGTAAATGAAATTCCTCCATATGATCTCCACCCCTAAGTAATTGTCGCCTTTGAAGTTTCATAATACCTCCAGTGTGTGTTCCTTCCAGAGGACAATGAGACCTTCAGATTGACCTACAGAGCTCTAAAAGGACAATCACATCTCCTCCTTACTCCACAGACCTCTAATCACAGTATCATCCACTATAGTCAATTTTGATTATTGAACCAGGAACAATTTAGCATTTCCCTTCTTGATAATTTGACAAATCCTCTTCCTTTTCAACAAACTACCTCCCCCTCTAATATTTAAAGAACCAGTGATCATTATAGCAAATTGAATTTCGCCTTCCCTCCCAACTTCCTCTCTCTGTCAACTCTTTTCATATCGTCAAATTTTTTCTTATAATCCTTCTCTGCATTCACTTCCACTAAACCAAAATTAGAAATTTACTTCCATATCCTTTCCCCAACATTAGAATCCATGTTATCCCAGAATCGAACATTACATCTTATGAAGTCGGATTTTGACAAAGGTTTGCACAAAGAACAGTATCGGCTAAAAAATGGTCCTCCTCCAACATAAAATTTCCCGCGTTTGGAGATCCACTCTTCCTATCCTTATTACCCTTTGGATCAGAGCCATGGACATGATCCTCCATCAAAGAAAGAAATTCGCCTTGGTCAACTACTTTCAAAACCCTCTTCCTGGTCCTTTTTTTATTTACCGATAAAGGTCCACCTACTTCATAAATGATGTTACTTTTTTTTCTTTGGTAAATCTAGTTGTACCCACCACACCTTTACACGTAGGCTTAAAAAAAGTATCCAAAGTACAACTAACCTTAG